AATTCATGTCTACGTTAGGTGCATATGAGCATGTCTGTGTGCAATGTAGGTGCAAATGAGTCTGAAGTAATTAATTATTCAATAAATTAGAGCTCAAGGGCACAGGGGGAAAGTAAAAGCACTGAGATCTTAGCGATACTTCCTTCTCTCCGACAGGATTTCATCTAGATGAGCCCTTTGAGGAAATGCTTCTTTGACATAATGGAGGATTTTTAGAATGAACTGAATGATCTGCACCATAAAGAATCACATTTTTCATTGTTTTATCTCCTTTACGGGTTAAGTTGACAGCCGAGCAGAGTTTCATACATCTCACAGTTATGAGAGCTTAGACAAAAACATTTAGAATACATCTAAATGTGAAAAGGGAAACGATTTCACACTCTTAGGGTTACAGTAATTTTATGCCCTCAAAATCTGTTAGTTTATATTTAGAGGTTTTTATGACAAAGGCATGCTGCTCATTCTTCTTGCAAAACTAAAATAACAACAACCATAAGCCAGGGGTGATCTTTTCTTAGCCTTCATTGAAGGTTTTTAGAGGAGTTTATAGTTATACATTAATATTTCCTTCTTTGTTTGTTTCTTTTATCTCGAAAGGTTTATTTTCCTACATCCTGCAACAACGACCAGCCATCTGTCGCCTCGCAGTTCACAACCGGTCTCTGCATCTTGCATGTTTGTCAGTTTAATAAGCATGCACATCAAGACGCCTATTAGGAGCAGCTTTTCTTGCGCACAATGTCAGGATTTTTCATTTTCTAATTCATCAATTATTCAGCCATTTCTCAGCTGTCATTTTGAATATTACAATCATCCCTCTTGTCCGCTCTTTCAACTTTATCGCTACGAGCCAACCCTCATGTTGGCAGCTGATTTACACAGGTACTTTTCTGCATTTGTGTTGCCTGGGGAACTATTGATCAGAATGGTTGACCATGCAAGGGCGACTTTCAATTCATATCAGAAATCAACACATGGCTTATTATGATAACAAGAATCATATTGAAAATATTTTGAAAGCAGGCAATGGAGACACAAATTAATTAAAAGGCAGTTTGTGGTGCAAACTTTTGGTTTTGAAGGATCAGACAGCACTGTGTGTACTCTCAGGGTGGAGGAAAATTGTGGCTTCCATTGTGAGTTTTCTCACTTTCATTAGATTCTGTATTCAGCAGAAAAGCTCACACTAATCAAGACTAAGAATGAATGACATAATGACACTCAGCAGCAGAAATCCAATTCTTACTTTTTACATTCCTGGGATGGTTGTTGAGCATCTTAACAGACAGTAAGATCGTATGTGCACGCTAGAATTATTAGTCTGTTGGATTGCTGGAATTTTAAACACCAGCAGTAATTGAATTGTTGAGTTGTTATTTTTTAAAATCAGTCATCTGTGTACCTGATCTCACCAAAAACCCAGTTTAGTAGTTGTTTGGTTGAAATTTCAACCAAACAACTAACTAAATTAAATGAATCACATGGTGACATTTTTTCCTTAAATCCCCCAAATCAAGGATGACCTTTAAGTTATAGGTTTAATCTGATATGCTGCTGTGACAGACATATTCCATTATTTCCACACATTTATAGAGTAAAGAATCATTTTAGAATACATAAATGAAGCATGATGTTAGTTCAAGCAGCACTGAAGTCAGTGGTATTAGCCATTTCAGATCTTCACACATTTCAATCTGACACTTCCCGCTATCACTCTGCTGATTCAGTTATGCCCACACCACTCCATCACAATTCCTTTGATCTCTTCCTCATGTGCTATTCATGCTATCATTTGATTTGACTAAGATTTGTTAAATTAAATGCACACTGTAAAACACTTCCTGATAGGTTTGTAGAGGAATATACTGTCTTGTGTAAATACTGGCTGCTTGCAGTCTTCCTACCACTGCACATATTTATGGTGTAATACAGTATTTTTAGTGAGAGTGGAAATTAATGTAAATGTTAAAATTGAAATAGCTGACTGACATCTTACAGTTAATGGCACAAAATATTTATTTATTCATGCCAAATATGTCCACTTACGTTTCAATTTCAAAATGTAAAGGAAAAAACGACTATGAAATATAAAAATAAATATAGACTAATGTAATTACACATCAATACGGTACGGTACGGAGACCCGCAAGGGACATGGGAGAAAAAAAAATTAAGACGGACTTTTGCGAGATCTCGCAAAA